AAAGTGTACAATGTTACCGACCGTGTTGGGCAACTTTTCAATGCACTTTGTCGGTTCTGTGGTAATACCTTTGGGCTATGACTAAAATAATAGAATTTATTGCTATATTGCACCGCCGCACACCGGACGAGGCGACGACGTCCGACACTCCGACGTCCCCGTACGAAAATAAATATGGATATATAATTATATTATTATATATACGCGATGAGTGATGATGATGATAATAATAATAATAATAATCTAATATTCGAATCGGCGTACCGTGGTTTCCTAAAATGCCGAAACCATGATATAACAAACAAGGTATGTCAGCAGCTTATCAGCCGCGCAGCTTTGCTGGTGGTCATCGGAGGAAACAATAAAATATGTTTTCTTTTCTAAGGAATATATAACCGATAACCATGATATAACTTCATCTGTTGATTCTGTTCATGAATATAACTATAGAATGTATTATTTAAATTTTAAATTGTGTATTTTCCGGACTCCGAAACTCTACTAGCATTTAGTATTTAATCATTTATACTTTATATAGTTATTCGTTATGAACTTTAAAGTGTTAACTCTTAAGTTATTTGTGTTTTCGTTAAAAGTTCATTTATACTAAACAACTAGATATACATTTAGAACAAACTTATTTAGTATTTTTTACTGTGAAGTGTGAACAAATGTTTTAAAAAATATTTGTAATACATAAGATAAACATAGCACAATAATTAATAATGTATGGAATATAATGGTAATTATATTATACTTACCTACCTAGTAAATTACTTATTTAACAAATTTTTTTAATTTCTTATCCTTAACAGATTTTTTTTCATTCATAATAATTTTGTTCAAGTGCTTCAAGCGGATAAATGTTCTGGTTCTTATGAAGCAACTTAGCACTGTATCAGGTATACAACTATACTGTTTTTTAACTATATTTAATACATTCTGTATTATAAATGGGCTTTTTTTCAAACCAGAACCATGGAACTGATTGAAGACTTCTTCGGTATAACATATTGCTTCTAAAAGATTATTTGAGGGGTGCAATAAATTCCCTTTATTTAAAGTAGATATCCAGCTAGGTCCATCAACGTTTTTAGTTGACCCCAATTCAGGATATTCTAATCTAAATCTATGGGCTACATATCCAGCTAAAAACTGCAATCCATTTCTACCAATCACGTCTTGTGCAGTAGCAGCTAAAGATGTATTTTCATCATTACCGGAGAACTGAAACATAAACAAAAAATATCATTGAAAAAAGTAAGTTTTAGAAAATACTTGATACATTTATGTATCATTAGATATAAGTGGTAACATGGATATTATTTATGAATTTTTGTTTTATTTGTTAACCTCCAGTTCAAACTCATGTAGCAAATCGAGAGACGATTGAGGAACATCTAATTCATTCTCAATTGTAATGGTTTCAACAAAAGACAATGTATTAGAAGTGCATTCAACAACGTTTGAGTCATGTAATATTTCAGCAGTCAAAATTGATGAGTCAACTAAACATTCTTCATCGGTATCCTCAGTATTTCGGTGAACTGTAAAAAGTATATTTGAATACTTTCCCAAAACGTACCAACGTAATCTGCAAGTGATACATAGTTGTATGTGTAATTAATTAATTAGTTATTTTGTTCAATTTTATTTAATTATAGGTACTACCGATATTTAAAATCCAATGGTGTAGGATGATCATTTGAACCACCCATACCTCGCATATAACTAAAATATGCTTCGACACCATCTTGGTTGAGCCGTCGAGAAATGATATACTTTATGTCATATTCACTTTGTAAATCATTGAATAGATTTTGAAAAGATTTATTGGTAATAATAATACCTTTTTGGAAAGGCATAAGAGATTTTGATCCATGGACTCTCATATCTTTTATATATTGAGTCATTTTATTTAACAAAATATTTTGATTTTCAATGTCTAAGCCATAGCTGTTAGTAAATCCATCTTTTGCCATTCTTGTATTCAACAAATCAAACCAATCATTGAATAAACTTAATACGTTGCTCATCTAAAAAGTAGAAACATCAATACATCAGTGCTAACTACATTTAATAAATCTACAAGGTACAAGGAATAAATAATTGTTACCTCTTGCCAATTCGAAATATGGTCTAACATTTTAGCCTTTCCACAAAATTCTATAGCTTTAGACAACCGATCAGAGAAAACCTGGGCTGCCAGTCTTACATTTTGTCGTTGAGCTCCAGTCACATCCAAATGTGACTGATTGATTTTGTAGGCCAAATTAATTTCAGTACAATGAACGGATAAGAACTTGACCAGAGTTTCTTTTCCTATATACTTATTATCATAGACAAACCCATGATCTAATAAGTGATTTCTTGCCAGTTTTATTAAGTGTGGAACATCCGCAAAAACATAAACATTTTTATCATTAAATGGGTTTTTAAATGATGTACTTTCAGTGTTTATGTTTAAAGTGTTCCAAAGTGTTCGATTTGTTGGTCCCATATCACTTACCATTGCAACAACCTAGGTTTACAAATATTTTAGTCTCAGAAAAAAGTATAAAATAATATTTATTAAACCTTATATCCAATGCTTTCCAATGACTGAATTACTTCAAATAGAATTTCCTTAGTCATGGGTTGATCAAAATTATAATAAATTGGCTGTTTCCACGGGCTTATAATTCCTCTTGCCATCATCACTTGTGCACATTTATTAGGACCCCAAATTTGTTCTCTCTTTTTTTCATATGACATTGTTTTACTTAAATAAGTTTCATCAAATGACAAAACAGTTAGTTTGTCAATTTCTGTCATTGTTTCACCTATTGTATAGAAACATGTAACTTAAGAAATACTTAGTTGAGTAACTAATTTGAAGATTAATTAAAATTTCTAGTGGCTAGTTTAATTTAAACATTTTTGTAGAACGGTTGATACCTTTATGTTTCATTAGATTCATTACACTGGTTAAAATTCCTGGTTCTAATTCAATTTTGGCTGCCCAAGTTCTTAAAGTTGACAATGCTGAAATACATAGTGATTTTTTTTTAGATATATTTTATGTTAAACCAATAATAATTTAGATTTAAACTAACCTGCTACTGGATAACCTATTCCGTACATGTATTTATAACACTTAGGTGAAATACTCCTAAGTCCTATACATGAAGCAATGTCCTCATTATACCACTTATTAGCACGCTTACCACTAACTAATATATCAACTTGATTTTTGGTAAAAAATTTTTTACAAATATCATACATTTTATTTTTGAAATCTAAATCATCTGTCATTTTTTTGTACCGTTCATCTTCAAGTTGCTTAATTTTAGATTTCAAAGACTCATTTTCATGATAAATTATAAAAAATTCAATTTTCATATCTTCTAATTCATTTTCCAACCTAAATTGTTTCAAATTTTTTAACACACATTTTGCAAGTTAAAAAGAAAAATACCTTTCAATTTGTGTCAACTTTTTGGTGCAACATTCTCCAGAATCAAAAAGTTGTTTAGCTACTTTATTCTTCGTTTGCTATAAAATAATTATTAAATAAAAAAAAAAAACACAGATACCTACTACTATTTATTATAATCTTACTGCATGTCTTGTTGGAGTATGCTGATCAAATGAACCCATAATATTTAAATCAATCACACCATCAATGTCAGTTACTATACATGTTTTATTTAAAGAGCTAGATTTTTTTCTTGATCTATTTCTTGAAGTTGGCTGAATAAAACCAAATTGTATGTCAAACAATATTTGGTGATAAATAGGTATTCTTAACAAAATACTCATTACTAACTTTAAATGGAGAGATTAGAGAACAATCTGTTTTGTTAGGACTTTTCAAAATCTTACTGTCATCAGAATCGTGCATGTCAGTCACTACAAAGTTATTTATACTCGGACTAAATGCTGACTTTGGCTAAGTAAATAATTAATATTTATATTCTAAAAATTTAGGTACATGACATATATAAAAAGATATTTTTTGTTGCTTACTCTTTGTGGTGAAGCTTTGGGAAAATTTGTTGTATTAAGACTCTTATCCTTATTATCATAATTGCTATCGTCCGTTACTGTAAACTTTATAGTTTTTGGACTATGTTTATTGCTATTCTAAAATTGTAAAAGATTTAAAATATAAAATTCTAAGCCATTAAACTAAATTTTTGTTATAACTTTTAAGTATGTTCTTAATTCTAATTAAATAATTGTATTTTGTTATTTTTTGTTTAGAAATTAATTCTAGAATTAAGTAGTTTTACTTAAATTTGTATCTAATTTTGAATCATTAATAAATACTGACACCATAATGAGCACTTACACCATCACTGACTTTCCTCTTATAGTTTGTAGGCAAGCAAACCACTAAAACCGGTAAGTATTTTGTTGGCACTACATTTTTTTTTAGAGTCTTTTTTTGTCCAGGAACAAAATCATTAGACGAAAAATGTATTGAACATACTCTTGCTGTAATTCATTATATAAACATAATATTTACATTACTACATTGAATACATGTATCAATCACTGAATTATCTTTAGAGGACAAAAGTTACCATGCTCTAAAGAAATTCCTGATCCTAAACGAGTTAATTTGATCCATTCATTTAGAAGGTGTGTTTTAGGAAATCGGTGGAAACCGATATCTTTACTTCCAGTCCTATTAACACATCCTTCTACAGCACAAGTTGGCATTATAAATAAATATAAAACAACACAATGATTTTATATAACAACTTTATTAGTTAAAGAACAAGTAATTACAAGTAATAAATTACAATATAACATTAAAACAATAGTAATATAGTATACATTGATAACATCAATATTAGAAACATAATACAATATAAATTAAAATTATAATATTAAATAAATATTAAATAATATATAGTTTGCTTGTGTAATGTATATCAATTTTATTATAAAATATTATATATAATAATAAATTAATTAAAAAAAAGCGGGAACCCATCCAGCGGTATTTTATGATAACAAAAACAGCTGTGACCACCAGCGCAAACGACGACCAAAACTCGTCTTTTTTTGATAAGCTGCTGACATACCTGGTTTGTTATATCATGGCCGAAACTCTAAAGGCGCTGTGCACCGGCCAACAACAAATTTAGAGTAATATATTTCAGGTGGATACCTAAGTAAATAACGTTGTGTATTTAGTTCATAACCTATAACGAGTCCCGCCCTTTTTTCTTGCGCAATTCGCATCGATTCAAGAGCGATAACTGTCCATCAATCTCATTATTTCTTTCGCAATAATATTATATTTCCTGTTATTATTACTACTCTAGATTTCTATCAAGTGTACAATACAATATAGTATAGCGTATAATGTCCGCGGCGTACATCAACAATTGTAAGCTTTTGAAAAGTATTTGTTTGAACGTTTCTGGTGCTATCGGCAAGAGAAAAATGAGTATTATCAATAACGACGTCGGTTTGCATTCGTACGACGTAAGAAACACAAATACACAATTTTTACTTTTTATATTTTTTTTACATATATACATCGAGGATGTGGGAAGTGGGTAGCACGTGATATTTTAGTCACAAGTAGTTGATATGTATAATATATATATACATGTATCATATATCTTACATTATATACGTTTTGTATATTGTTTTGTCGTATTCTCTCGGGACGCACGATCTCATTATGTATATTATATTATATTACATCATTAATATGATTGCTCAAATGATAAGTATGACACGGGTGACACCTGTTGGAGTAGCTCAACAATAACCACCATGTCCTTGTGTACACTATAATAATATTTAATCAATATTGTATTGTATTACCTTTAATGTTTTTTTACTTGGGTAGATGTTAGTTTCAAGCATAGGGTTGATGAGTATCTATTATTTTCAAAAGCTGTGATATATTTATAGGATTATAGCTTCTAAATATTAAGTAATCGCAACTGTTATACGAAAAAAAAATTTGTTTATTTTATTTTTCAACAGTATTGTTGAATATGTGTCCTAAACGATTTCCTTGAAAATTGCTGCTTACATTGGACTTGTGTTTCTGAAGTACAATTTATCTAATTTCCATTAATCTGACTTAGTTGCCCTAGCCTATAATATATTATTATATCATTAGCCGCATCACATTCTTTTCAACTGTGTATAATTTTCAAGAATAAAAAATGTTTCTAACATTTTTATTAATATTATTAAAAGAAATAAATATTTCATTCAATGACAAAATGAAACTGTTATTCCCTTATTTATATGGATAATATTTTTAAAAAAATGTATTGTATTTGAGTTTTTATGAGTTGTATTAAAATATTAAAATATTATACTAAAATAGAACTGAGATATTCATAATAGGTATATCTAAAAGTTAAAAGATCAAAAAATCAAAAAATATACCTATTATGAATATCTCAGTTCTATTTTAGTATAATATATGTATAAGTAAGGTATATTGAGTATTAGTGATTGAAATGTAAAATACTAAAATGTATATATTGTTTAAATATGTCAAAAAGTTAGGCCATTTTGCCATTACTAGGGGGGGGGGGGAGAGTTAACTTTAATTCTGGTAAGTGAATCAGTAGTTGAGTTAGATACATTTTGTATTCCTTTTAAATTGTGTCAAAGCTAAANGAACAATCGAAAAACTATCGAACTATCGATAAACTATCGGACTATCGAACAATCGAAAAACTATCGAACTATCGATAAACTATCGGACTATCGAAACTATCGAACTATCGAACTATTGAAAACTAATCGAACTATCGACTATACTCAATGGCATTATTTACTATTTAGCCATGATGTTATCAGTTTGTCACTTGTCATTCGAGATTCGACATTCGACTATCTAGGTTTATTTCATTTTTTATTTTTTATTTAATATGTCTATCCCAAAGGCAAATTGTTCCATCGTTTGGAACCATTTTATAAAGGACCCAAATACCCCTGACACCGCTATATGTAAACACTGTAAAAAATCCTACAAACGGTCTAATGGTACAACTAATCTGTTAGACCATTTGAAGAGGAAACATTTTACAGTGTTAAATGGTAGTAATTTGCGACGACAAAATGAAAATGATACAAATCTACCAGGTAAGTCACACCTATTTAGATTTTAAAATGTCTCCTAAAAGTAAAAGATTCTAGTGGAATTAGTAATTAATAATTTTCTCCAAAATCTAATAAGTTAACTAAAATAATAATGTGATTTTGATTTTTTAAATAGGAACATCAGGGGAACAAGAACAACCGCAATCTGCAAGTGTTCTGCCTTATAGTAGTCCAGTAATTCCAGTAAGCGTAACCAATAATACTGGCAAGAGACACAAACAATTATTGTTGTCTAATAGGTAAGATTATAAACTATCATATTAATTTCTAATAATACATTTTCAGAAATAAGTTGAAGACAGAACTGTCATGTTTATAACAGTGTTAATTTGTATATTTGTTAATTTTATACTGTTAAAATTAAAACTAACTAGATTTCAGTATGTTTTCTAAATTTAATTTAACTGTATATGCTTACATTTATTTATATTTATAATTTATATGCTTGTACATATTTTATATGTACGTGCTTATCCTGTAGCCAGTAGTTCAGTAATACAAATTACTGCAATTGGATATTGTCTAGTTACTATTTGGTAATTATTTACAATTCTCATATTTTATTTTTTAGTTTTCAGGTTTAATTATTATCCAACTGGTTTGGAGTGCAATTATTATTTGTTAAGAAAAAACCGTTTTTTGTCTGCCATATAAGTAGGTACCATAATATTATAAAAACCAAAAATCCAAGGGTATGGTTTATCAGCAGCATAAATACTAAGTATTTCAAAATAAAAGGAAGTAACTTTATTAATACTTATCTTAGTAACAACATTACCAAAACCTTTTCAATGGTTTAAATTTTATGTATATTATTAATTAGTAATTAGTATTATTGAAAATTATCATATTTAATTTTTGTAGTCTATTTTTCATACAATTTTTAAATTTTAAGTAATATTGATATTAAGTATTTAATTTAGCATTTTCAAGATTTATCAGTAGTACCTATTTTTTTTATTTTTTTTAAGATTTGGTACTCCTTCGGAAAGCCAAGTTAGTGCATTCCATGAAGCTATTGTTAAAATGGTAGCTGAAGATCTTCAGCCCCTTTCCATAGTTGAAAACTCAGGATTTCGTAACATGATACAGCTCTTGGACTCCAGGTAATAATTAAATATTAAATTAAAACTTTTAATATTTCAATTTTTTTTTAATGTAGAAATGTTATATGCTATATGATATATATATATTATAACCACTTTGACTAAATGCTTTTTGGCTTAATGGTCTTGATATTTTTTATTTTCTTTATCGTCACAAATACAACTAATTTAACTTTTTTTAGATATGAAATCCCTAGTAGGAGAACACTTGGAAGGACCATAATTCCAAGAATATTTTCAACTGTCGAAAATAAAGTTAAAACTTTGTTAAACCAGGCTAAAAATGTTGCAATCACAACAGATATTTGGACGTCAATGAACACTGATTCTTATATTACAATGACCGTTCACTTTCTTTTTCAAACTCAATTGAAAACCTTAGTGTTGTGCACCAAAAAATTGGAATCCAGCCATACTAGTGTAAATCTAAGTGAAATAATGACTGAGGAATTAAACAGATGGGACATATTTGAAAAAGTTGTTGCAGTGGTCACTGATGGTGGATCCAATATAAAAGGTGCAGTCAGGCTCATGGATCTATCGCATTTGCCATGTATTGCACACAAACTTAATTTGGTTGTTCAAAATTCGCTCAAATTATCTGGCAATCAAGAGACTGATCCCAGCGATGATACAGAGGAAAGTAACCTGAAGAAATTATTCAAAAAGTGTAGGAATATAGTTGGCTATTTTAGGCGTAGTGAAGTAGGAAACAGAATGTTGGTTGAAAAACAAAAACAGCTTGGATGTGAATCAGTGTTAAAACTAAAACAAGACATACATACTCGGTGGAACAGTACATATTTGATGATAGAGAGGCTTATACAACTGAAAGAACCACTAACAATTGTAATGATTACCATAACAGAAGCTCCTAGTAATCTTAGCTCTGATGAATGGAACAGCATTGAAGATATAATACCGTTATTAAGACCTTATGATAAATTGACTACTGAGCTCTCTGGAGAACAATATCCAACACTTTCAACAATTATACCATTGATACGAGGTAATTAACTTGATGATTCTGTATACAGTTTAATTTTTGTGCTTTCTGTTAAATACTATAAAATGTTTTTAATTATTTATAGGTTTGCAAAGTTCATTAGTTTCTAAAACTCCAAAAACGCCACTAGGAATGTTAATAAAAAATAAACTAATAGAAAATACAAATAGGCGTTTCGATAGTATTGAAAAACAAACCATAACACCGCATTTTTCTCGGGCTACATTGTTGGACCCAAGGTGCAAGAAGGTTGCATTTGGGTCAGAACAAAATGCTAATGAAACTGAACGATATTTGGTCAATGAAACAGCTGCTTTAATTAGTAATGCTTCAAACACAGGTAAATAATAAATAATTGTTGCTAAATCTATAAAATATAGTTAAATAAAATTGGTTAAATCACTTATAAATACACACCAAATGTGTCTTGTCATAATTTTATCATAGGTAATTTAAAATAATTATTATTTTTACAAAAATATTATTAATCTTAAATGTGATTTGATTAAACCTTTTTGTAGAAAAATTGTAATTAAAAATGTTGAGAATTCAATTCTAAAGACTCATATAATTAATAATAAATAATCAGATTTTTCTTAATTTCAGAACAACCTACATATCAAGAAAATCCGAATACTGATGATGACAATGTGTGGAATTTTCTTAACTCCAGAGTCACCAATGTCCAGTCGCAGACAACTACAACAAGTAGTGCTACATCCTTGATGAGACAGTACCTAAGTATGCCTCATCAAGACTTAAAATGCAATGTTGCTGTATTTTGGAACGACCACAAAACTGTATTATCACCACTTAGTGACATTGCATTGAAATACTGTATTATTCCAGCAACTTCAGTGCCGGCCGAGAGGATTTTTTCAAAGGCTGGGCAAATATTAAGCGCTCGGCGTAATAGGTTATTGCCTGAAAATGTAGACAAGTTAATTTTTTTAAACAAAAATATGTAAGTTTTTTTAATTTTAGGCACAAGTAAGTGACAAGGTAATACAAAAAGGTAATTATTTATTTTAGTATAGTAAAAATATAATTTATATTTCAAAATTAAAAACCAAAATAAATTTTGTTGTAGTTTAAAATATTATTTTTTTTATTTTGCAGATAATATTCAACTGGTTTGAATAAATACCTCTGGAAGGTCATATAAGGGTATATCCCTGGTTATAATTTTTATTTAAAAATATGTCGAACAAGATTTAAGTTGACATATAAATTTGCAATTTTAAGCTAATATATTTATAGCTGTGGTGAGTATGAAATACGGGGTGAACAATGACAGACTGCTTGCGGCCCATCCTGCATACAAGTTTTTTAACTTGTATCAATGTCATTAAACCTAGTACTGCACATATCTATTTTAATAATTGTAAGTTGTAACTTAAGAATCCCTTGAAACTTTGAAAATACAGTATTAAAAAATAAAAATAAAAATACTTATTTTGATTGTTTTTTTTTATACTCTAAATAGTAAAATATATCCAACTGGTTTGGATAAATCTAGTACAAATCATACATGGCGTATAAAATACTAAAATCCTCAGTATTTAGTATTTACTATTTTCCAAATAAGATTTATCTACCAAAAACATATCCTATAATTTATTATGATTTTCTTCTCATAATACAATTCTCATAGTTTTTAATACTTAGATTAATTAGATTCATAGGCGTAGGATGATGAATTTATAGGGGGGGGGGGCTATAGCCTATTATATTTCTGGTACACAACATATATTCTAAAAATCTGACTAAAGAAATCCACGAAATGGGGGCCAAACAAAATTCTAGTAGGGCTATAGTCCCCTTAGACTACCCACCACCCCACCATTCGCCTATGATTAGATTGTATAATGTATTAATTAAAGCTAATAAATGAAAAACTTATACAAAAAGAATTACCATAAGTTATATGGATTTTGTATGTAAAACATCCCCGTTCCAGTATTTTAGGTGGTATATTCGCCTGGAAGACGTCAAGACAATTGGACATCTGATTAAATCATTTAAATCGTACCTGTTTTGATTAATTTTTAGGCCTACTTACGCAATGAAAATTTAAAAAGTGAAAATGAACAAGTAAATTCGGTCGATAATTTTTAAAAACAATCGATGAATAATAATATCTATTCAATTGAAAAATCACTAGGTAGTTTTTGAAACTATAGATAGGCAATCGATAGTTAAAACTAGTCGGTTGTGCCCATCACGCCACTAAATTCGGTCGATAATTTTTAAAAACAATCGATGAATAATAATATCTATTCAATTGAAAAATCACTCGGTAGTTTTTGAAACTATAGATAGGCAATCGATAGTTAAAACTAGTCGGTTGTGCCCATCACNACATCTGAATCTCAGCAGTCTGTAAGATCAGAACCAAGTAGTATTATAATGTCAGCCAAAAGATCTCTACAAAACGTTTTTGATGACATAATTAAGTGGCCAGTACAAAAAGAAACTACATCAAAAAGAAAAAAAGAATATACACCAAGTGTAATAACATCTAAAAAATGGATAGAATATTATGAGTTAAAAGATCAAGAAAAATTAGATAAAGAGATACAAAAAGAAAACAAAAAAAAAGCTGCGCAGGAAAAAAAGAAGAAAATTGAGCAAAATAAAATAGAAAAAGTAAAATTAAAAGAATTAAAAAAGATAGAGTTGGCTGAATCAGATGAAAGTTCAGAATTAAATGATAGTTGGTGTTCTAGTCAAAGCGATGCTAGTGAGTCACTTGCCATTCCATTGGGACAATTGGATTTGGTTTTAAGTATTACAGACCTTAAACCTGGTGATTATATTCTAGTTAAATTTGAATCTAAAAACAAAAAAAAGATCACCTACAAGTATGTTGCAACAGTTCAAAAATTAATTGAAGATACAGATGTTGAGATACAGTGTTTTGAGGCTGTGGACGAAGAAAATACTGAATATATTCCAATAGAAAATGATATATCTATGGTTGAGTTAAAAGATATTATAGGAAAACTACCTTACCCTGAACTTAAGAAAAGTGGTAGACAACTTAAGTCAGTATTTCCTGGAGTTGTTGATACATTTGAAAAATGTTAAAGGTATTTAAATAGGTACTGCGTATGAAATATTATGTTTTTATTCCTACTGAATTTGTTATTTATTTTTTACTTGTTTGAATATTATTATGTTATATTATCTACCATGTCTAAACATTTAATTTTTTATACTGAAGATGTTTAGCTAAGTATATTCTATTTTAATTGAAAAACTATATTTTATATTTAATTGTTTTTATTATGAAATCAAAATCAAAAGTTACAAGTTGTTCAATATTAAGTTTGTCATTGTTTTTTATATAAGTATCTATGTATATACTAACAGAAATCCTAAGACTGGATAAAAATATTAATAGACTGTTTATGAATTAATTTTATTATGATTTTATTGTTACTGAGTTTGTAATTTTTTTTCTTTATTACCTATATTATATTTTATAGGTATGTACCTACCTACTACCTACCTAATTGTTAATAATGAAAGTTTGTATTTTTTTTTAATTGAAAAGTGACAATTAGTATACCTACCTAAATTGTATTATTTATACTATGAAATCTTTAACAAAAGTTTGGTTTAAGTTGTTCAGTATAAATTTTGTTATAGTTTTTATAAAGGTTTACCTTTATATTAGGTATATACCT